ACACACACACACACACACACACACACACACACACACACACACACACACACACACCTTCCTCCACCCCCCTTCCAGCAAACACCACATCACCCTATCACACACCCATCATGTGCGAAGAAAACCAAAAGTACACATCAACACATAGGTATTTAGAATTTATCATGATGATAGAGACGCTGGTAGGCTTCCACATTTCTTTAACATTGTAAATATACCAATAAAGCATTGTCCAACTGATAGCGTGCGCGCGCTCTCTCTCTCTCTCTCTCTCTCTCTCTGTATGTATATATGTGTGTGTGTGTGTGTGTATAGAGTGGTCTTTTGTGTTAATTGTGGAAAAACATAGATTTGGGGGTGTTTTTAAAAATGGATTTGGGATGCTGCTGCAGCAGTCCAGCTGGCACAAGGGGTAATATCCCCAGGTACCAAGTGACCAGGCCCCAGAAGCTCCTGAGAGTGAGTAGCCCTGAGCTGCTTGCCAGGGCAGCTTTTTGTACAGATGGGGCCAGGACAGGGCAGCTTTTTATACTGCTGGGGACAGCACAGGTACTGGACCTGGGCTCTAGCTCCCACGGCTGCAGATCTGGGAGGAGCCAGGCAGGGTTATTTTGCTCCAAGTGGCACAATTTGCTTCACAACAAAGTGCGTGTCTGAGCACATGTGCTGAGGCAAAACACCCTGGCTCAAATTTTCACCGCTTCTATTTGAGCTGCTGCAAGTGCACGTGCTTGTATGTGTACATGCACCCATAAAGATGAGGGTGGAATAGTTGTATCCAGAGAATTTCTGTTTGTCATCCCTGTTTGTACTGTACACAAATCATCAGCTAACTGCAAATAAGAAAAACGGCAGATAACACAGCTTTTTCTTTTCCTAATCAAAAGATAACCAGTTTGTCTGGTTTGATGTTGCAGACTTTGCAGCTGGAAGTATGGGGACAACAAGGCCTCGTCCCATCTGTTTCACTTTGCACCAAGTCAGGAGGTTCAGCAAAAGGTCCAGCAAAGAGTAAGAAATCTATTTTTCCTTATTTGATAATTGTGTGCATCAGTCATAGAGATGCATGTCAAAATTAGTGCCTATCCAGGAGAAAGTTCACTTTTAATTTGGTATTAAAACAATTTGAGTAGCTTTTTATTCAGTAGAGTATTCATATTACAAGCTGCAGTTTTTTTTGTCTCCCACATTATTTAACCATTTACACAACCTATCACAGAAACAAATTTTGATCCTGCAGCTCTCGATACTGCAGAGAGCTCATCTAAACACCTGGCACTTTTAACATAATCTAAAAACCCCAATGCTGTAGGAGTTTATAAAGCTGCCCTAAGCCATGAGACAACTACTCTTTACCATGTTTCATTTCCCCACTAGTCAGCAAACCAATAGAATTTAAATCCTTCACCCTCAACTGCATTAGCCTTTCCACCAGTGTCTAACTGAACAGGGGGTTTTGAAGCATGCCCAGGTTAATGAGGGACTGCTAGCAATAGACTTGTATTGGGTATAATATAAGCTGTCAGAATAACATTCCTGTCCTTTCTTGCCCATTTCATTGCTGCAACTACATCTCAGACCTCACTTGTAGCATCTCAGCCACTGGGTTCTAGGGCTGGGTTTGAGCAGATAGGCCAAGGGTAGGAGATGTATAAAAATTGTTAGTGGGATGAGTCCAGTTAATTCACTGTTTATCTGTACTGAAAATGGGGAACGTACTGCATAATGTGGATCTAGACTGTCATATTTCTGGATCTATTTGGGTATGGTAGCCCATTATATGGAGGGATGCCTTTGGCAAGATCATAGTTATTTGCACCTGTTTCAGATGATAGTGTTTTGGAAGTACAATTATGGCCCCTTCATGGTAGGATTTGTCCAAATGTAACAGAAAGACAGTCCCTGTTTGAAAGAGCTTGCAGAGTAAGTAATTTGTAGGACTGGGTATAGGTTTTGAAACATGCCAAAAATTAGTTGTGTAAGCACAGATTGGCGAGACTGATGATTAGTGACCCACTTCTAAATTTAAAATCCATGGAGTTAGGGCTCTGACAGATGTGCAGCTCCCCAGTCTAACTTATGGCACTTTACAGAAATTGCCATGAGTTAGACGGACCCTCCCGACCCAACAGACATTCGCTGTTGGAGGATCGTGGAGGATCAAGCTCTGCTTTTGGAGCCGATCCAGTGAGAGAAGCTGTGTGTCTGCAGTCTCTTGCCCTAGCCCCACACTCCCTCTCCCAGCTCCAATGCTGTCTCAGGATGGGAAGGGAAGAAGGAATGGACCTCCCTTCCCTCCCCTTCCCTTCCCATCCTGAAGACAGCACCGGGGATGAGGCAGGGCTGCTTCACCCCAGGCCTGCTCCCAGCATGCACTAATTAGTTAATGAAGGTGCTCCACTTTGGATCGCCTTCATCTGAACCTTCATGTAATTAGGTTTAAATTGTGGTGCGATCGGGCACTTTTTTAAGTGCTGTGTAGCTATGTGCTTCTGTCAGGGCACAGCTGTAGAGTGTTTTAGTGGCTGATCACGCGACAAAGTGTCACGTCTGTCAGTGTCCTTAAGTTAGATCTGCATTACAGTTTTGCTGGCATACCTATGTTGGCCAGTGGTGTGAAAAAAAAATCACAGCAATGTCATCAAAACCCTGGGGGAGGGGTAGGCAGGAGGGTGGATGTAGCTATATCAGTGGAAGAGGGTGTTCATCAGCTTAGCTTAAGATGTTCAGGAAGGTGATGTATCTGTGCTGGCTGAGGAACTTTTCCTGTCAGCATATGCTGTGTCAAAGTGTGCTGGGACAGTTACAGTGGCACAGGTTCTGAAATGTAAGTGCTAAGTCTTTTATTTGTCTTTGCATAGTTCCCTTGACTTAATAATCATATGTATCAAAGAGATGTTAAAAAGAACCCCCCCGAAAAGATTTCCTGAAAACAAATTCTCCCTAATTTCTAACCTTGTGTTTCTAAAATAGTTTGTGGAAGAAAAGCTTGGGTACTTACTGAGAGAGTCTTTGCTGCTGCTGTTTCTAGTCCTGATTGATAGTACACAGCGTGATATACAGACTTGGAATATTTTAAATTAGTAGCTTCTATCAGCTTTGCATGGTATCTTTGTTTTTGGTATCAAATATAAACAGTTATCAAATAAACTGTTATCTAAGGTGTTTTTCATGAATGTGTTCTTCTATCCTGTCAAATTCAGAGTCTCTGTTAGTGATATGAATGTTCTGTTTAAAATTCATATTGCTTAAGGGGCTTGGTGGAGTCTATTGAATTCAGTAGTATCCAATGGGGGGGACACAGGTCAGATGGTACAAACCTTGAAGTGCCTCAGTGTTGCTAGTGGTCCATGCTGCCCTTGCAAATGTACCATTTTGTTCAGTTCCTGCTGTTCAGTGTCATTAATCTAACTATTTAAGAGATTTATTTTTAGTTTAATATGTGTTGAAAAATATAATATTTCATTGTTTTAACCTACATCTATTTTCTGGGCTTTAATGATGTTTGGTATTAATGCTACAGTGACATGACTTCAACATCACTTCTGTCATCAGTTTCTTAAGATGTCCTATTATTAATAGTATTTCAGCTGGATTTGATTCGCCTTTTAGCTCTCCTTGGACACTTGTTCTGTAGCTTAACTCCTGTGTACTTTATTCAAATTTGATAAGATTGTGTCTTATCTGATTTCTGTTAGTTGATTTTTAAATTTACACACCTATATCTTCCTTAATGTTTTAGCTCCCATGTTGCTAAAGGTTGACCTCTGTTCAGAATCATTATTTTTTCATGTTTCCTAAGAAATCTCTATAATTATAAAATGATTGGTGGAAAGTGTGTGTTGAAATAATCCAATGCTCTGTGAGCTACATTATACTATTAGACCCAAGTTAATGGGCTTCTATGTTACATGGCAGAGGTACATTAAACTACACGTCAAATTGGTAATTAAGAAGCTCTTTATGCAAGTGGGGTTTTGCTGTAGCTGTGCTGCTTGCAGGTCCCAATTCTTCCTGAAGTGCTCTCAGTTTTCACAAATATGGCTGTCTCTTAGACCCCTGCTACTTCTCCAACAGGCCACACACAGTTTTCCTGGAGTGAGTAGCAGCTTAGAAGTTGCTGTTGTCTTTCCAATTCCCCAGTCTGGACAGTAAAAGCTTAGCATCCATACTCCCTCTACCTCTCCCTCAGAGAAAGAAATGGGTGGCAGGTGCTTTTATTTTAATACAGATGCAGGGTCTGGAAATCCACTGAGACTTCCCTGTGAAGAAATCTCAGAATAAGGAAACAGAAGGCAGAAAAGTAAAAGCAAGTAGAGACGCCTCTCAGAGCATCAGAGGGGCAGCATTTTATAGCTGAGTGCGATACAAAGTTCTCTCTAAAAACTTAGCAGGTAGTTACATGCACATTTGAACTCTTTATACAGGGGGTCCTGACCAAATGAGAGGCTTGTACCCATTTAAGCTTCATAAGTTTATTTTTTTCTATTGCTTATGAAGATAACTTGCAGTGGAGCAGAATAATCATGCAGTAGTGAGTGTGCTGCTTTTGTTGGCTTCTCCATACACATACGTTCATCTTTGTAGGTGCTGAACACCTTGCATTTGCTAATGAACTTTTATCCCTGAGATAGGAAGGGGGGGTTTATCCTGTTTTTACTGAAGAGAAACCAAGGCACAATGAGAGAGCGACTTTTCAGGGCTCTTGCAGGAAGTCAGACATAGCAAGGAACAGAAATGAGATCTCATAAGTTTCAGTATGATAGTAGAAAAAGAATATTTGATGCTAAATAGGGCTCTGGTTTTTATCTCTTTTAATCAGTGTATAAATTGTAGTTATCTGTTCCACAATATCTGGACACCTGTCACAGCATTTTCAGTCTGTTCTCTTTAATACCAGATCAGTTCAGAAACTTAAGGTTGGGTGTTTAGGAATACCAAATTAACAAGTGTGTCAGAAATGATAATATTCCTCTTTATGCCATTTCCTAGATATGGCACCACAGGAGAGCACCAAACTGCTAACCACCAAAACAACTGTTGAGTTTCCTAAAAAGTTGTCTCCTAGTTCTCACCCACCACCTGCAAATAAAGGTGAGATTATAGCTAGTCCTTACCCTGATGAAGCTTTAAAGTTAATAGATGAAGATATGAGGAAATGCATATCAAGGAAAACTTTGGTAATGTTTCCTCAGAGAATAACTCTTTCTTCACATGAGAGGAAAGGTATTATCACAACAGCTGGAGGTCTGAACAAGAACTTGGTTGAGGAAAAAAGCTCATCTTCATCCAGCTCCGATTCAGATTCTAGTTCTGATTCTGAAGAAGATACAGATGTTGCCCCTAAAGTCAGAGGGGTATTTCCAAGACTAGATCCCCACTTCTTTAAAAATGGGAAAGTGAAGAAAACAACATTGGTTGAACAGAGATTGTCCCAGAAAACTGATGAAGAATATGCACCTACAAAGGAATCTCTCCTATCAAAAATTGAGTTGCCCCACACCAAGCAGATACAGTCTACTCAAACATCAACAACCAATGTTAGAATAAAATCAAAACCAAGAGTGTCTACCATAAAACAAACATCAAAAGAAATAGAAATACAGAAGCTAATTTCAAAAATGCTTGATTTAAAAAGCCAAAAGTTAACAGAAGTCAGTCTTAAGAACACAAACCTCCTGAAGGAATTGACCACTGAAGCCCAAGCAGCAGCTACACAGCTAAAAGATGTACCAGTAACTAAGGATACAAAGCCAAAGCTGACCTTAAGTGGAGAAGAAAGCAAGACAAAGATGCAGGAGCCTGAAACTCAAGAAATAGCTGCTCCTAAACTACACAAGGAACTTTTGAAAACTACAGCAATGGCAGTAGACAGTACAGCAAAGAGAGAAATCACTCAAGAAGCAGGAACTCAGACTGAAATGAATGGCACTATACAGGGTACAGCTTTAAATTATTTGAACTATATTGTTTCTTCTGGGGTTGGGGCTTGAAGTTGTATAATTTTAAATAAGTCTTCAATGTCAGCTTTAATATGGATGCTCTATGTTCTGTATTATGCTGATGTAGCACTGAATCTGTAACGGAGATTGTCATGCCTTGATAAAAAATTCTTGCTGTTAAAAAGGTTTTTAGAACAAGTATTGGTAACGTGGCCTCCAGTTGTTGCAGTGGGAGGAAGCATTTTTAATTTCATGTTGTTTATTTTTGTTCACCCTTAAATCTTCTAAATAAAGTGATGAGGGCTATTTTCATAATTTTGTTAGACCCATGTCTTGAGGACATCCAGTGACCTCTACCCCCTCTTAGGATTTACCTCTTTCTCCTGCCCTTGCAGTTGGTAGCTGCCTTCCTAATGAGCTGAACTGTACTACCATAACATTCATTCTGATGATGGCCCCTTTCTTTTTCTTTTTTTCAGGCTGCAGATTGCACCAGACATTGAGGTAGCACAGTGGGGTTATAGACCCAGGACTTGAGTGTGAGACCAGTAGACTGATCAGAGAGCTGGATGTTGGGGCCAGCAAGATCTCAGGCTTAAAACCAATCTTTAGCAGACGACAGTAGGGGAGAGAAGGGGATATCCATGTGTGTCTGTATTGTATGCTGTATCTTCCCCAGATCACCTCCCAGCTCCTTGTCCCTGTCATGCTTATGCTGACTGGTGATAACTGGGCTCATTAAATAATTCCATCCTCTGTGCACAAAGTTTCATGAGCCCAAACCAACAGGCTAGCCATCTGATTGTTCCTACATTCCTCATACTCCAGGTAAATTAAATTATTCCTCCATACCAAGTTGCACAACACCATCTGCAGCACATGTTTCTTTCTTCTGACCCTGTCTAAGTGTTAATAACTGTCCTGTATTCAAGGTTCAGAAATCTGGCCAGCCAAAACCTAGTATGTTTGAGTTTAAAGAAATAACTCATGAGAAGAAAGCGTAAATGTAAGACTGCAAAATCAGGATATTATTTATAATAGGCTTAAATGATAAATACATCTTACTTAGCACTGTTCAGGATGTAGTGCTGAACAAAAAGGCTAGGGACAGAAATTGCATACAAACTGCTACAAGTGATCAGAAACTGGTTCAAATAGAAGTTCAGTGCATATAAACTGCTTTCAAAATGGCCAAAACCATTTTAAGATAAACCTGGATGGATGTAGTATCAGACTTAACTGATTTAGGTTCAATTGGTTTATTGAACTTGTCCCAGATCCCCTCTGGATTCAAGTTAACTCACAGTCCCCCAGCATCCCAGGATGCTTTGCACCTCCCCTGCAACCCCCTACATCGCAGGGTGGGTGGACTAGCCTTGGCCCAAGCTATCTGCTCCAGCCCAGCAGGAAGCCATCCTCTAGCGCACCCCCGGCTTCTGGCCTTGGCCACTAGAAGCATGTGGTTGCATTTCCGGAATCAAAAATGAATATCTGTTCACTTGGTTATCAGTTCAGTCTGCTCAGCATAGACTAGCCTGTGAAGATGGAATCGGTTCAGCCTCAGGCTTTTTGACTGTCTGTACTTAGCCAAGGAGTACTGTAATTTGAAAGGGACAAGCAGCCTATGATTTGACCTGCCTTTGACTTGTAAAATTCTTGGGGGCGATGGCTTTGGATTCCAGTGCAGTCACCGTCTACAAAAAAAACTGTCATTTTTTTTCTGTGCATTCAGAAAAGGGAGCCTAAAAAAGCCTGCATAATTTCCCTGTCACTGTCCACATCTGATGCTTCATCCACTTTCCATCACAATGCTATTGTTGAGGATTTAGCATTACAGTTTTTCCATTCTCACAAAAAAGTTGATTCCTAGAAAACTGCAAGAACAGGCTCAGTTAACTTCCAGACAGGCAGAGGGGGGCTTTATTCTGTGCTTTAAAGTGAAGTGTGCTCCGTTTTCTTAACCAATACGGTATATATTTTAAACAGCAGCCCCTACAGTACCTGTGCTGTTTTACAGTGTAAATCTAAAGCAAGATGAGGTTTACGTTTCCTTTTTGCCAGTATAGCTATGTCAATGAGGAGCATGAAAAAAAATCACTCCTTGCTGACATGTTGGCAAACTCCCCCTGGCTGACAGAGGGCTTCTGTTTGCTTAGCTTAGCTTATGTTCCTCCAGGAGTTTGGGGCAGCAAAAATGCTCCTGCTGGCACATGCTACATCTCCACAAGGGGGCTCTACCTGTGTAGCTTTAGCAGCAGAGGCTCCTAACTTCAGGACAGGTCCTAACTTCCAGGTTCCTAACTTTCATTGATGTCAGTGGAGCAGTCATTTAAAAGAGTGTAACTGAAAGCAAAATCTGACTGCTTTATCACGTTTACAGGCATTTTCTGTTTTGTTTCAGTCTTTTTCAGTAAAAAGAAAAGTAATAGCTAATAGCTAGCAGTCCTTATTCACAATTTTTCTGTAACCTACATTTCTTTCCTACGTCTATTCCTTCTTGTGTCTGCAAGCTCCTCAGCTGACCAACTTGCAAGACAAACTGAAGATATAAAAACAGTGCTTTGGCCCTTAGAAACGTGAATGTTAGGGAAGCTTCATTCTTTAGAAGTAGGAATGCTAAAGAGCCAACAGAATTAATGTGCCATTAACTGTTGGTAAGTAAAATGAGCAGCAAAGGAATGCAGAAATGTACTCTGACTCACTTAACATCCTCTGGAGAGATCATTCTGCTTGAGAGCACAGCTGAAGTGTGAAGCACGGGGGAGGATCTTGGGGATAAGGTTGTCTTTTGAGGAGCCAAGTATGGTGCATTGTGGACAGGGAAAATGTGAGAGTCCATCCGCTTTTCTTCCTGAGCATCTGTCTTCTGCTTTAGAAGAACCCTGTCTTGCAGTTTGAATGTATTCTTTCCTGTGCTTGCTTATTCACAGAGCTGTTTTCAGCAAAGACCACAACAGCTGGGTCAAATATGGATGTAGTGGTTTCTCTTGTGAGCTTTATCCAGCTAGGAAATGAGAAGGATGCCCTGGATTTTTTTTCCAAGTGCCCACCCTAGATTCTACCTGTCATTTAGTCCAAATTGCTGTTTCGTAAATTTAACTGAAGGTTTGTTTATGAAATGCAATGGGTGCTTTTGAATATCCAATATTACTACGTGCCAACTGCAGAAGGATAAAAGTAAAGCAATAGGTTTTCATTATGTGTTTGTTTAGTTTTAATTTTTATTGTCAGATTGTTGCATAACAAGATATATCAAGCTTCTGCCAGTGTCTAACACAAACCACCATCACATACAAATTTATGTGGCTTTTCTGTTAGACTGCGCTGACCTATCTTTCTGATTTTGTGTTTTATGCATACAAGAATGGATTTACAAGGGAAAGAATACTTTTGTTTCTGCTCTTGCTTTGTTCATAATTTTCCTGTATGGTGAAGTCAGAAAGTCAAACAGAAACCGTTCTATAAGACGTTCTATTTAAGCTAACAAATTTTTAAAGCATAGAAATTAGTGTCTGCTTGTGTGCGTAATATGAGAAATGTAAAGCTTTTAAACTGGATCAAAATTTTCTTTAAAAAAAAAAAAAAAGCTGATGTGATTTGAAAATAGACCGAAATAAAGTAAAAGGGGGAAGGGCTTAAAATATAAAGTTCTTGATTGGTTGTTGCATAATATAGCCATAATTGAAATAACTTGAAATCCTTAATCATTGCTTTGTTAAATTAGATCAGCTTAGCTTTGTGCATTCTGCCATCTAGTAGTTTTAATGCCTTTGTCTTGTGATTTGATATGATATATCAAGTGCAATGCTCCCTTGCATCTCGTGGCTTGTTAAGTGTCCCACAGTTTTCTTCTGGCTATGCTGAGGACTAGGAGGTGTTGCCAACTGATGTCAAATATACATGAGGCAATACTTTAAAAGACAAGAAGCCTGGGTATTTTCCCATCGATATTGACTTATTAGTGTTCGAAACACAAACATTTTAGCTACTTTTCCACTTTCCTATGTGTTGACTAGCCATTTGAAATCCTGTAGTAGAGCAGATGAATAAATTCTGTGTTTTCTTCTAGAGCTCAGTGGTGCTTTGGTCTATTGTAAGGTACTAACAGATGTCTTGTAACTTTATCCTGGTGCTGAACTTGCTGATTTTTCATTGACTGATTAAAAAAAAAAAAAAAAAAGAGTCTCCAATCTCCAGAGGACATTGACTCAGCGAGAAAGAATGTTGCCTCTCTTCTAACATCAGTAGGTTCACTAGTTTTTGTTCTTGTTCCACAGAGATAAAAACGGCTGCTGCATCTGCTCCAGAGGAATTTGATAATTCAACCTACAAGAACCTCCAGCATCATGAATATCATATATATACCTTTGTGGATTTTGACGTATATCTGTCAAAATTCAGACAGCCTCAGCCATCTTCTGGAAGAATTTCCCCTTGGCAGTAAAAGAGAAGATTAAAACAAATGTTCCGGGATTCTTGATGAATAGCGCAACATCCATATTCAAATAAATCAGTTAACTTGCAGTAATTTATGCTTATGTTTGTGACAAGGTCATTTTGGCTGCTAGAGTTGCTTAGTTTGTGGTTAATATTGAACTCATTCACAGTAATAATCCTGATTTTTTGTTGTTGTTTGTTTTAATAGCTTTTCTTGATCCTAGTGCACATTGTCTGATAATAGGGAAGATCATTTCAGCTGACCTTCAGATATTGTTGACTCCAATATATGACCTAGATTGTACCTTTTGATTAGTGTTTTCTGTTTTGAAGGAAGTCAGTTATTATAATGTACATGTTTGTCCAGAATTCATCATTGTATTGATTTTTTTTTTTATTATTATTATTCTGATTGTGCCACATTGATATGCGTATCACACATGAAGACTGACTCCCAGTGCTAAAGATCTTACCTATGTTGTGTACTTGAAGTTAGAACAGAGATGTTGGTTTGGCAAGGGGGTATGGTACAGAACACTCTCCTGTGTAGCAACATGTGAATGTGGCTAAGTACAGAGGTTCAAAAAAAGCCTGAGGCAGGAGTGCTCTAATTTTCATGCTTTACTTTAAGTGCCATAGGTTAGGTTGAGAGGGAATAGAACAGACTTTCCTCCTCCTGCTGGCAGGGGTAGGGGTGAAGCAGGGCATCAAGGGGGAAAGCTGCTGAACTAGGCAGTAAGGGGTAAAGGCCCTGCCTTGCAGGCTTGGCCCCTACTGTGCAGACCCTAGTTGGGTAGGGGGGGCTCGATTTTTTTTTTTTAATTTATTTTATTTTATTTTTTTCTTCCCCCCCTCTCACCTGCACCCCATGCCTCCACCTGCTGGGCTAGGAAGCAGAGGCTTTGCTGCCTCAGCTCTATGACAGACCAGAGGCCCAGCTTGACTGTGTGCGGGCCGGGAGCGACCCGAGCCCTTTTCGCGCTGCACACGGGCTGTGGCCAGCAGCCCGGGCGCGCCGGGGCGGAGAGGGAAGGCCTTCGGACTGGAATTAGGCACGGACACGTATTGGTAGTTTTAAAAGATTGTTTACTTACACCAAGATGGCAGTGGTGTAGGCTGGAAAGCTTGCTTAAGTTGCGGTTACAGAGAGAAAAGAAAACAAAACTCGAACCTGCAGGGCACGAGGGTGTGTCGCATAGGGTTCTGGCGACGGGAAGATGAAAATACGAGGATACGTCGCAAAGGGTTTTGGCGACGGGAAAGTAAACCTGCAGGACTCGAACCCGGGTAGAAGAGCTCTGGAGTCGTCCGGCAAGGACTCACACGAAGTTTGCTAGGCTCCGTGG